ATATTTTCTTTGCTACGAACTCGTTTACAATTAAGTATTGATTGGACTTTGTCAGCATCTATATCGACATCTAATTCTTAGTTCTTAATATAAGATCGCTGAAATAGGCTTCTTAGATTTCCATTTAAAATTACTTTTAAACCTTATAGATACTTGTATAAGATTACTTCTGTCGCTCACAAATGCGAGCCAAACAGTGTCAGATAATGTCTTCTTTTCAAAATAAAAAATAAAAATCCAAGGACAGTTTTAAAGAAAATCGGTTTTGTGTTTAAATTTCAATCAGTAATTTAAGCATACTCAAGGTAAAATAGAACATCGTCAGAACTAACAAAAACTTCACCATCATCTATTCTGATTTTCTTTTAAATAATCAAATAGAGAAAAATATTTTTCGATGCTAAATAGTTTTATTTTTTATTCTTGGTAAATAGTCTTTATCACTGTTATTTACTTTGCGTCTGAAAACAATAACACATTAGATAGTTATTTATACAGGCTTAAGATCAAGCAGTATAACCTAAAACACTTCCCACAATATATCAATGAAGGAAATCACTTCTTAACTGGCTTCCACCATGCAAAAAAATTCGAATTGAAATCAAATTAAAATCGATTTAAAGTCGGTTACAGTCAAACGAAACTAACTATTTTTGAACCAACTTTAATCTTAGACAACTGAAAAACTAAAATTTCGTTGAGTATCACAAGTAATTTTGCTGATAGGCAATTAAAACTGCATAAAAAATACGACTTTAGTTGATTGTTCTTGGTAATAAATAAAAACAATCGGTTTCCACCAATTAAACTTAAATTTTATATGAAGTTTTTATCGAATATGATCTGAACAATTGTATGAATCAATGAAAAATTCTATTAAAATCGGTTAAAAAATGATTAAAATCTTATGATTATAGCTGATACTCAAAGTGTTTCTAGTCGGTTTCAATCTATTATCAATCCTCACTTTTTCAATTGGGAGACTTGATTTGGCTGAAAATTTGAGCCTACCATAGACTGAAATTGTTCCGCCGCCTATGATATTCAGTATCAAAACTGTGAATGTTGGTTCTTTTCTCTTCGTTCATTTCAACAAAAATCACATATCACTCACCCTCAATCTTATACTTTAGTTGAGTCCCGTTGCAACAAAATAGCCAACGTCTACTACTAAACAACATTCGTTCGATTCTGATGTGTGCAAATAAGACTTTCATTTTTTCAAATATTCGAGTGGATGGATAGTGAAGGGTGTGGGTGTGTGGGTGGGATTTGGATGGGTGGGTGAGGGTGAGGGTACGGGTACGGGTGTGGGTGTGGGTATAATGAAAGAGAACGATTAAACCAATACTCCACACTCACCCCCAGTCCCACGCTCAAGTTTGTTTAAGCTCTTTATAAGGAGCTACAGTACTACTCTCACTACTTTTTGACTGCCCCATGTAAATTGATCGATTCAAGCAACACTGCTCACCTGGTTAGATTCCATATAGGGCTTGATTGTTTCCCATATTAGGATCATATTAGCGGTATACATTTCACTTTTAAATTACTTAGTTTTACTTTTCCAACTATTCTAATAAATAATTTATCACAGTCCAATAATTTTAAGCAAATAGTACTAAAAATTTCGGTGACGCATTGCAGTCGATTTAGGCTATACTATATTTGCGACACTATTTGCTTTCTTTCTTGGATGTTGCGTTTGTTAATTTTGGTAGATAGAGATAATTTGCTTTTCTTATCTATCATTTTTTCTCTCTTACTCTTTACATAGATATTCTTCAACTCCGAAATATGTTAACAAGGACTGCACTTATCAAAAGTAAACCATGCAGACTGATAAGCAAACGTCGCGGAACTTCTATCAACAAAAAAAACACTTAATCATTTAAGGAGCTTCATTTCGAATAGGGCACAAAAAGCTATATTTATTTCTGTATGATGTCAGCTGTAAGAATGGGTGTGTGAATTGCGGGCATATATCAGTATGGTTGGACGAGAAGAAAAACCACACCTACCTACTGAACAATCTGCATGCGCATCCATCAGGATGTGGGGTGTGAGTGTGGATGTCCGTGTGGGTGTGGGTGTTCCTGTGGGTGTGAATGTCCATTTGGGTGTGGATGTCCGTGTGGGTGTCTCTGTGGGTGTTCGTGTGGGTGTGGGTCGCTGTGAGCGTGGCTCTGTGTGTGTGGATTTGGATGTGCTTGTCGATCTTTTCATCATACTCACACCCACACCCTCGATAACAACAAGACTAAATAATTATTCTTTATGTTAGATCAATCAAAAACACGTTCATTTCAAATTGTTTCACAAAATCCTCAAGGTTCTCAATTACGTTTACAAAATCTTTTTGTAAACGTTTACCAGCAATTGGTTCATTTCTTTGTCTTAGAAATTAGTACACGACGTGTTTTTTTTTTTGGATGAAGGTTCGTTGCGTGATGAGAAAAAAATGGTTTTAAAAGTTTTACATTCTTATTTAGATGAATATAAAGTAGCATTTGTAGCTGTAGTTAATAAACCATTTGATGTTGCTAATGTTAACCGAATGATTTGTATTTATCGATCTTTACTATCAAAAGATAATAAAAAAATCCTAATATATGCTTGTCTCGGTCTACAGATTGATCATGAGCATCAGACTACTGAAAATGATTTTAATAACATTATTTTTGAACTTTGCCAAGACTATCGTCGAATATTCACTAATTCAAATATTCTTCATATATTGCATAATCGAGATTTTAGGTATATGCTAAGAGAATTACATTCTGAATTACTAAAAACAAGAGAAGATCAAGAGACTAGTATTATTGCTATCCAACCGATCAGTTTATTACGGACATTAGTAAATAATTTTAATGGAATAAAACAAAATGAATTTAGAGAATCATTTAATACTTTTTTAAAACTATTGAAGAAAAATTTCCTAATAATGAAGCTTGATCTAAAACGTCGACATATTTATGATCGTTATAAATTAGTTATTGAAGAATCACAAGACGAAAGTGCAATAAATCTTTTTTACAAACAGGTATTATCGACTTGGATCATAGTCAAACACAGATTATTGATGTGTCGGGTTTTTAATGATTATATTAGTAATGAATTACGACATGCTGAAATATAATCAATAATTACATTATGTATGAAAACCGGAAGAACTTTTATTAATGGTTAATACAGATCAAATCCAAGAATCACTTCATGATGTTTTTAATTAAACTTTTTTTCAATAATGGTAACTGATAACTGATGATGTGAGAAAATTTTTTTCTGAAGTTCTTATTGATCTTAAAACAATTGATATTTTCTTCATGAAAATTCGTAATGTAGTGTTCAAGTTAAACGAAGTGAATTTAAAAATATTCCAACACCTTATCCTTAGTTAATTTCAAAAATATTCATTACGATCACTATTATTGATTCAACATTTTGGGCAAGAACATTTTTATGATTTCAATCAAAGTATTCTTTATTTATGCCTTCTATCATTAATTAAAATACATAATAATAAAAAAGATTATTCTTTGTTAAATTTATATCAATGTTATATACAGTTAACTCATAATTAAAATAATCTATTAAACAAAATATTCAACATTTCAATGACAAAAAACATTTCAATATTGAAAGTTTTATTTGACAATTAATTTCAGATTTATTGATTAGTGTTGATAATAATGATTTATTATCATCAGAAAATCTGGAACAATAAATATCAAATAATACTGATGTTACAGCAAAACTAATCAGTTTCATGAGAATATCATCCTATATTGCTGATCTAAATAAACAATCAAAAAATTAATTATTTAATAATGATCACATTAGTAGCAATAGCGAGAAAATTGAAATTCTAAATTTACTAAGTATTCAATTAAAGAAAATCGTAACCTCTATTGGTTCAGAACGAAAAAAACGACTTCCTATTTCTCATAATTTACTCTCTTTTTTTCTATTTGTTTTCATTTTCGTTTCAAACTCCCACGTTTCTGAATACTAGCTAAAATCCAATTGCATAGCTGATCTTTTTAGGCATAGTTGCGATTTTATTCAAGTAGTATTGATATAATAAATTAGGTATTTGCAATATAATGATTGTGAGACCGATGCATCACAAAACCACAAATACT